CCTGTATTCTTTAACTTATTGTATATCCAGTAGGAAAGGGCTTCTACGGCCTGTAGAACCCAGTGCTACTTTAAAAATGGCACAACGTTTCCCGTTTACTCTAAACAAGTTATTTGCTTCAGGCAGAAAGACATTTATTTTTGGTGAATGCTTTTTGGTGAACGCAGAAGCTGCTAATGCAGGAGTCAATGCAATACACTATACTAGTATACTCAAAAAATAAAACCACATTCTATGAAGATGCTCTATAGGAATGCTTGCTAAAGAAAAAGTTGTGATAAAAACCTCCTATACTAAATCTTGCAGTTTCCTTCCTCACTGGAATTTCTTCCCGATTGGAATATGGACGCAATCCATATTCCAATATTTTGCTCTTTTGTCATTTTTCCCAGCGTTTAACAGCTTTGATCTAGGCTACAGACAATGTGACACAACACTTTTGTGCAAGAAATATGCTGTGTACATCACTAGGGTAAGAATCACAGTGCTGTGCATCGAACCTTTCCTTGATCAAGATGAGAAAAGACTATCTTTAAACTCCCTTCTTCCTTAACTACTCAAGGATATAAGACAAGGTAACTGATTCATTCAGAGGTATATACAGGACTGCTTATCTACTGGCTCAGTATTTCTTGTTCAGCAAGGTGCTTCTGAGAAGGTTTCATTCTGCTTGTTTTGAATTACACCACAGTCTTGATCCTTTACTTACTGCCACTTTGGGCTTTGGATGTATATTTGCATTTGGATGTATATTTGGATGGCTTTTATACCCTTAGCTGTCCTAGGCATAAATAACGTCTGTATTTAGCCCATACATATTTGCTTGGCACTATTATTCTGTACTATACTCTCAAAGCTTTCCTATAGCAACATGATAAACTGTGAACAGATATGGAACAAAACAAAGCAAAAAATTATGATTTTAGAAAGCATTCACTTTCAAACTGACATATTAATTATTATTCATCATTATTGCTGTCTGATAATTATTTCATATTGTTCACGCATATTTTCATATTTAAACTACTTTCTGAAATCATAACATTCTGTGGCTGGTGAGGCTACTGCTAAATAACTATGCATGGGCCAAAATGCTTGGAATGAGCAGAAGTGACTAGCAAATACACAACAAATGCTAACAGCTAACTAAGAACATGCTGTGTTGGCAAGAACACATTCAGCATAACATCAAAAAACTTCCAATAAAGCCCTTTCTTAGATTTAAGTGAATAAGTATCACTAATTTCCTTATGAAGACATGATTGTTGCACCCTTTCTTTCAATGACTGTTGAATTATTTTTCTATGGAAAATATACATAAAGAACTAAAATAGTCTTCCTGATTCACAGGATGCAGTTTGTACAATAAAGATTTACATGAAACTGGTACGTGACAGGAAAAGAGACATTTATAAAAGACACCCTTAACAGTAGTATAAATAGATGACATGAAATATAAAATTGAATCTGCACTTCTGATTATGCAAACATTTTAGATCAGATTTTTGTACTGGAAGTATACACTCCTAAACACAGCAGTCTAATTATATTAATTAAAATATAAAGTGGAAGTAATTGAAATTGCACAGCACACAGACGGAGTGTGAGCAGTGAGTATCCTGCCCCTAATATAAATAATAGACAAGTAGCGTGAGTTGAAAGGATGAAAACATTCATAACCTATGTAATAAATGTGCTGGCACTTCCGGTAATTTATAAAATAGTTCAACATTGCTCTAAAAGAAAGAACATGCACAGCTGTTAGCTACAACATCTCTTTGCTAGAACTAGTTCAGTATTTCAGCACTTGGTCTATCACAATTCTGACTATGATACAGAACTGGTATGGTGTGCCTCACCTGGACCTGTCTCAAACACATCCTCTGAACTCTTAAAACCAGACAGGCCCTCAGCACCAACCCGGACTTTATATGCTGTTCCTGGTGTTAAACCCTTTAACACAAAGAAGCTTCGAGAACCATTTACAATTTCCTTTTTCCAATCTTCTTTGCCTACAAAAGTTTTAGGAAAACAACACATTGGAATTTTAATTTTCTATGAGTTACTGAAAGTTTCTAGACAAAATACTATCAACAGTTAATTGACTATACTATCGATTGGCTGAAAGAAGTAACTACTCTCTCAAAAATAACAAAACCTTATATAAAATTACAACTATGAATAGTATATTGCATGCAATATCAAGAAGACATTGTACATGAATTATGAGAACTATTTTAAACATTTGTTCCATTGTACTATGTAAATACTATTTTTGTCTATTTTCTTTAAAGCCTTATTGAATTTTCAATTATAGTAAACATGAAAAAAGATTTTAATCACTTTATTAGATTACGATTCTGTAGTTAGAGTCAATATTTACTTTGGTTGACAAGTTCTACTTCAAAATCTGAGTACATTATATTTCCTAAACACTCTCTTGTATCTTTTTCTAATAAAGTCTCAGCTGCTTCTTTGAACAATATCCAGAAAAAAGCATTTGTATTCCAATTCTCAGATTGATCATCTTTAGTCATGATTTTAGGACATGTATTTGAACAGAAGTATCTTGGTTTTATTAACTAACCGGCCGTGTTTTAATGATTACTAGGAGCAAAATGAAAAAGGTATTATCAGAGATCGAAAACTATATTTTTATGTCAACAAAAGTACATAAGTTGGTTAGATATCTATTTAAGGTTTAATTTAACTACTACAGTTGTTTCAATTCACTCTTTTATTTATTTATTTTTTACTTAATTGGACATAATTTAAGAGAACCATTATATCCTGTTTTAATAATAAGTAATTGAATTTTCATACATGTAATCACTGCGTGATAAACAACTTAAAGCAATTTGTGTTTTTAGAAGTTTATGTTCAAAATAATTGATAAAATAATACAAAGGAACAAAGACTGATTTTCTATCTAAGCATTAGACAGCTGCTATACATTGATGTTTATTATAATGAAAACTATTTGATTTCCCAATAAAATTAAAAAATAATCCTTTTAGACATTTAAGAGCTATCATGAACACTGGATCAATTTAGGACCGCATTTATCACTAAAATATTTGAAAATGTATCTGAACATTTTGAATAATTTAATGAAATGACTTCTTACTGCCTGCTACACCATATTCAACATAAAAGTTCGCATGATCTGGTCCCTCATACTCCCAACTGATATTGGCATAGGTCTCAGCAGCAGCTGTTGTAACATTTCTGATCCTTGGATAAAGTGGTTGCACTGAATACACAATAGAAAAACAAAGCAGAATATGAGATTGTGTCTTCATACACCAAAAAAATTGAATTGAAGAAGCTATTATACTAATGTAGACCATATTCAGAGAAAGTATAGTACATTCACCGTTTCCATTTTGGGTATTAGTAACTAAATTAGCATACAGGGTAATTGAATCATAAGCAGTTACTATACTACGAAATGAGAAAGTAGAATCTCTGTACTCTATTGAGCATGCCCTATTTCACCAAGATTGCCAAATACTTAAAAATACCTAATTGTCAATATCCTGGAAAACATTATTTCTATTCATCTCAAAGTAAAATGCATACAGCTGAAGACTGAAAATATTCTAAAGGTAGGAAATGGAGGTATAAAAGGAGAGAATGGAGGTATAAAGGAGGTACACTGCTCCCTTTATTCCAAGTGCCACTGAACGGACTGCAAATGCCTCAACTGCAAGCCCTTTATAGGATTTTGTCTCTACTATATTGATAATGATAAAAAAGGAACACAATACCCTTATAGAATGTTGGACGGGCAGTATGCATGACTGGGGAGGTTGCAAAAAGGGTTTCTGAATATCCTTCACCATCAGAGATAGTAGGAAAGAAAAAATAAAGAGTAAGAACACTTTACATCAGAAAGTAGCATTTAAATAATACAGTAAAACCTTACCTGTTAAGTGAATAACACATGCACACTCTAAGTTCATGCAGGATTCAATCAGTTTGACTTGTTAAAATATGAAATAGCTAAGTGATACAGGTGTATTTGAAAACAAACTGAATTTTGTGTGTACTTTTACAGAACATTCCTGAACTTAGCTTCATTAACATTACGGATTCACTGCACCTTAAACAGATATTCTTCTGCCCATCAGTGGCTCCCTCTAACCCAAGAATACCAAATCTACTACCTGCATGTTTTACTTTTCGCACAGAAATCATTAACCACTTAGAAGAGCAAGTGGTCTTTGGGTATACATTATATTCAGAGGAGGAAGGGGTCAACTAACCATAGAATTTTATTCTAGGCTCCAGAAAATCATTTAAAACAGGATAACTCTAAAACCAGGGTTACTAATGTTAAGGTTCTTCATATGATAAGATTTTTTTCTCTTAACCCATATTTTCAAATCTCCATTTATTCCAGAGAGTATTTTTGGTGCTCAGGCTCCAGTACCCACAGTAAGTATTAGAATATTAATTCAAATCTCAAACATGGAAACTGAGAAAGTGATGATAAATCTAGACTACTTTTAACAATTATTTTCGTTTTTCCAGTAATATAAACTTTAAAGATAGAGAGAATTACAGGCCCAGAATTTCCAAGGGTCACTTTTACTCATGCTTAACTTGTATGTACATACAGTTCAGATATAAATAAAATGGTCTTGTGATTGATATGAGTTATGTTACTGTTGCTAATCTGAGAAAATATCAGCATTTTCAAAGCTGTATTTTGAAGATGAGAATTCTCAGCTAAGATTGTTTAAATCTTTTCTTAGAAAAAAGGGCATACATTTTTATTAAATAACTGATTACTAAATTAGACTATGAAAAACTATTTAGATTTGAGTGTCAAAAACCTCAGGTACAGATAACTACACTGCTGATGTACCTGATGATTAAAGAAACAAAATAAAACTTGAAAAAGTTTGAGTTATGATGAGGTAAAACTCATAACATTAATAAAATTATTTTTGAATAGATTGAGTTTGTGACGATCCTCTTTCCTCTTCTTCACAAAAATTTAACTTAAAAAATAAAAGTAGTCAAATATTTGGAAAACTAGTATCAAAATATTCTAACTTGTAGCATGCAAACCACTGGAATGCAAAAAGCGATATATTTTAATATAATTATATTATATTTTAAATATATTTTAATTTTTATATATTAATGTTTTCTTTCAATAGCAGTATTTTGCACAAATATGCGCAATGTCCCTATCTCTGAAAAGCCTAATGTTACTGAAAATAGACTTTAATAGTCTGGTGTGGACATGAAGAGGATGTTCCTCAAAGAATACAGCATAAAACTAATTTTGAATGCAAGTTCCTCACTACTGTGGCAGTGTTTGCAACTGACATTTCTATCTCACAAAAAAAATATATTTTCTGTTGGAAACCACATCGAGAACACTTTGCACAAAGTATCAGAGGTGAAATCCTCGCCTCAGTATAAGTCAAATGACAGAATTCCAGTGGCTTCATATATACTAGAAAATAAAACTGGCAAGTGCCTGTTTTCAAGGCAAGTGGTGCTGGACAGTTTGTAGCCATGCAGTTAAATTATTTTCTTCTCAAAATAGGATGACCTTGTTCATATGGCTGACAAGAAATAATAGTTCCAAATTAGATTCAAAGAGATTGGTAAAATAAATAAACCTGTACCTAATCCACGGAAACAGAGTGAAAAATAGAGTACAGTGCCTAGAAAACTACATTTTGTTAGTCTTTTTTAAAGAAGACCTAAATATTGCAGATTGCATCTATTCTTTTATCTTCATACTAGCAACAAATTTTTCTTAACTTCTCTCCATTAATACAGATTGAAAAGTTGAATGAGAACTAAACTTACTATTCCCACACTTGATGTTTATGTCATTAATGTGTTTTTAGCCTGTTATTTATCGTAGGTAAGTTGTACTTACATGCTTTATATATCAGCCCAAATGCCTTTCACCAACCAAAAATAATAAATAATATATTTATTTATTCTCTAAAAAGACCTTAGCAAAAATCAAATGGAAAACCATAGATTTAAAAAAAGCCATGAGGGTTACTAAGTCAACAGCACACTAAGAAATATGAGAACAAGGGTTGTCTACGAGGAATCTCTTATGCAGTCATATGGTGATGCTAGGGGATTAGATTTTACTTCTCTATGCCACTTCAAGGCAGCAAGAGGAAAGAACAGCAAGTTCTACATTTAGAAAGGTGCAGACTCTGAGACTGCACACCAGACATCCTTCCTTCCTCATTCACGCACCAGACCTAGTGTAAGCTGAAGTCAGGATCTCAGTATTCTTTCTGTGCAAAGAAAACTACAGGTTTGTAATCTAAATAAGACTTACTCTGTTTTGTTTCACTAAATCATGTTTTCTCAAACCCATATTTTCCTGTATTTTGGTCTTCCATAAGATATGAGTGACTCATGGCAGAACTGTAAGACCACTATTTGTCATCAATGTTAAAGCCAGAAGAAACTATTAGCAATAATCTATTTCAAACTCTTGCACAGAAAGGTCACAGAACTCCATCTAACATCTCCCTCCGCGAGTCCAGGCACTCGTGGATGAAGTTCACACCTCATCTACTGTGAAAGACTCCAAACGATATGTAGCTTCTGATACCACTTGGCATTTTGCTCCAGCGAATAACTACTTTCCCTGTGAAACACTGCATCTTCTCTCCAGCTTTTTTCTTTAAACTCAGATTTCCAGCTTCTTCTCTGATTAAACAGTTGGCTGCTATATTAAATACCTACTATCTAGTAAATTTCTTTCTGTTTATATAAATAACAAGTTGGCTCTGAAAATTATCCTCATTCTCTCAGTGTCTTAGTTTCCAAATCCTCTCAAGTGGATTTATGCTTACATTTCTCAGAGGCACTCTTATCTGATTCTTACTAATAGGTGTTTGTAGTTATCTTTGTGTAATATTTACTTAGAGTTAAGTTCTACTTTTTTTTTTGTTGAAGACAGTACACCAAAGAATTTGCTCACCAGCACACCTTTTTCCAGAATCATCAATTTTGTTATTCTTCCTCTTTTTCACTCCTAATTAGTCTAATTTTTCCAGCAGGCCTGGAAAGTTTTGTTTTTAAGTCTGTTGCAGGTGCCATATTTGCAACATGAATTGTTACACATATAACATGACAAGACCTGGCTGATGGATCTTGAGGTGATGAAAGTCTGAAGTCAGAATAGTTATAATGTTCAAAACTTATTGCAAATCTACCCAGGCTCTTGTCCTCTCAGTGTAATTACACCTCTAACTACAGGTAACCTTTGCTTTCTTTGATGTGTTTCCTAGCATTCCTCACAAATGCAGCATGTGTAATTGCCAGTTCGAAGAAACTCTCAGTGTGCAAGCGTCAATTGTTAAAAGGAAGAAAAGCTTTGTGTTTGGGAGAAGTGCTTTTTTACCAGAAAAACACTATGTTCTCTAGATTTGCAACCATACAACAGCACTGTGCAGCATAATTGATGAAAGAGTGACTCTAAAAATGGCGGGACTGGATTGTTAATAAATTACAACTTTTACAAAAAATGATTCTTCTTCAGCTGCCTCCTACAGTAAATTAAGCTCTTAACCATGCTATGAGACAATGCAAAATTTAGCTGGCATCTCTGAGTATGGTTTCATTCTGCTAGTGAGATATGTTATACATGCATTTGCCGACTGTTGAGAAAGAGACCCAGGTCCAAAGCAGTATTTTTCTTTTTCAAAAATTAATTCCAATGCTTCTTTAACGCTTTTGGTATATTTAACCTTACATCCTTTCAGGAACACAGTTCCTCCAAATAACACAGGTATACTCAGGCTGCAGATTCAACAGAATTTAGTAAGACATGACATGAGATATGACAGGATGACTTTAACAACAGGATAGATACTCTCTCTCAAGATTTAGTTTAACAGAACAGCAAATTAAAAACTCTCTGAAGTGGTTACAACTTTAGCAAGTTCCATAGGATTCACTAGATCTACATGAAAAATGGCTAGTAAATGATAAGCACACATTCAAAGAATACTGTCAAATTGAGAAAAACTCCAAAGAAATATACCATAAAGAATTAGCTGAAACACATATGTAAAGTGAAAAATAAATTTACATGAAAAAAATATACAAGAAAAGATGAAGGAGGAAGGTAACATATTCTGCCAGAATCTGTAAGACAAACAGAGAGGGAGTTTGCTTTTGTTTGTTTGCTTTTTAACCTATAACTTTTACATTACGAAATTCAAGCCTCAAGATAAAAAAGAGCAAATTCCATTTGTTGGCATTAAGAGATGGGTATTAGTCAGTTCTGAGATTATGTAGGCCACTGCAGAGCATCTCTGTAGTGCAAAAAATACAGAAGAAAAAGAAGAAATTCAGTAAATTGTTTTACTGTTAAACATTTAACTTGGCATGGATTTTGTACAATGTCTACAAAAGAGAAAGATTTTTGCGAGGAAGGGATTTTTACATAGAAATCATCATAATTTTCTCTAGTCTAGCATGCTGAGTGTCACCATTTTTCCCAGCAGATTTAAAGGAGAACGTAGTGGCTCTGCACAGCAGGCCACAGTGAGGGAATAACAGAGATGCATGATGGAGAAGTTCACAGAGACAGAGTGGCTGAAGGAGTAATGCAAAAATACTATAATCAATTTGAAAAAAAGAAGGTTGAACTTGATAAGAGAAAAATGTGGAGACATTATGTGAAATGATTCAAAGAAGGAGGAAAAACAAGATGTTTGGCAGGGAAAATGGTTTGAACAAGAGCATTTTGTATGGAACAAAGGCAATTCAGATGATCATGTCTTCTGTTAAGACATCAGAGGTATGAATTCAGTTGAGAATGATGTCTAGCCTATAGAAAAGAGTATGCATCTTACACTTGGAGATTCTGTCAAAAAAAGAATAATTTCAAACTCATAAGATAGACTACTTGGGTATTTTTTCATTGCAATAGAAGTATTTCTGTCAATAATTCTTAAGATATTATTTGAAGAACGCAGACCAAAATATGTACCATCTTGACTGGAAGTGCTTGTTTCAATTAAAGGTGATTGTGATTGCATGACTCTATTTTAATTGCTGTTCAGAACTGCCAGTTATTACTGTCTGGGTGCATAGAGACTACAAGAAATTGCTTTCAAATAAAAATATGGACTATATAAAAAAGAAACTGAATATTGAAACAAGAAAGCTTGTTAAACGTACAGATTGGAATGTAATTATATGGGCACAACTCCCTACACTTCAGCTTACAAAAAACACTATAATGAGCTCTTAGGAATGTTTCTTTCAATCAGTAACTTTCATTTCTGCCACTGGTCTAATTTGCATTCTCTTCCTTCTTCTATAGTCCATTTAAAATTTATGATGGAAGATAGTAGGAAAGACTTGACTCTAGTGATCACTTCATCAATTTTCAGCTGCTTCTATAATTATTTTACATACAATCAGCTTCTTACTCCCTAATTTCCTCTCTCATGACTGTTGTCTCATGCTTGTTGTTAGACAGATGTCAGCACATAGATGGTAATACCAACGCATACTGCTTATCCAATACTGAGTATAATGCATTTTGTTTTACATATACAGTTTTCAGACACATACATTTAGAATACAAGTTGCTAAAAAGAAAAACAATTTTTTTTATTTGTAATGTCATAATATGAATGTCTTAAGTCATGCATAGTATTACAGTGTTAGAAAAGAAAGTCTAAATTAGAGTATAAACAGTGTAACAGGGTGGCTTGCTCCAATTTAGTAGAATAGTATGTCTCATAATTTACTCATCTAGGCTTCTGGGAGAATGACATGAACCTCCCCTCTCCCATTAAGCTTCTCTGAAATGTAGAGCCTAAGAGAAGAACAGAAACTCAATTTTTTTGTCATTGGCTATGATCCACTGTATTTCTATCATATGATGCAATAGCTTTTCTAGTGCAAAGAACCTTTTGGTTAACACAGTGGCCACCTTTAAGCAAGACAGTAATTTCCTCCTCATCTTGTCCCCTATTTGCTGCTGTGTTCCGTCCTTCAAAGTTTTACTCAAGGCACAAGAAAAAATGATTCCTTTATTCAAACCTGTTATCCTTGTCCTCATATTCCATATTTTAAATGTTAAAATGGTTATTTTACCTTACAGGGAAAATGCAACAAAGCTTGCTTCTCTACTTACTGATCAAGAAAATTTGGGGATCTTTAGACAAATTACCTGCCTCGCTGCAGTCATTACGATCAGACAAACTCAGCTAGGGTTAATGTTAAGAATATCAACAAATGTAGCAGTCATCAGTCTTTGGTTATTTCATCATTATTAAAGTAATAAAAGACCAAGTACACTGTGTGTGTGTGTGGGGGGGGGCACTCCTGTCTATACACATGGTGCAAAGCAACAGGGAATATATTTCAGGACTACAATAAGAATACTGAGACACCACAAGATTCTTAGGTTTACTGTAACATTATTTGCTTCTGCACTTTTTCTTTACTCTGAGAAGTGAAACATGCCTCAAGTAGGAGACGTAGCCCAAGTTTAAATGATTTGAATTCCTCTAGGACCTTGTGCCTAATGTTTGTGATTGGCCCTCTGTAGGCTTTCAGAGGCAGGTAGCCAGCAGAGAACACTACATACAGAAATGTGGATTGAATTTAGGCTATCTGATCCTATTGTCTTTTTAATCTTCACAATGAATGAGTTCAAATTATAAAAACAAAGGATAATTGTATTGTTTTAGCAAGTCCAGCCCCTCAAAAAGAAAAACTGAGATGATATTTTTGATAGATCACAAAATAGTTGTGAAAATCTAAATTTCACATTCTGTTTGGTGTGGCTTTCGGTCCACATTAAAGAGAACTGAATATCAACTACTCTGCTGCACTTGTCAGAGAAAAATTCACTGCCGGGTATGGCTTCTTCTTAAGTGGGCTGAGTATTTCTGTCTTCCAAACCACCCACTCATGGGACCAAATAATTTGGCACTTGATATTGATAATATGATCTTTCTTTTCCTTTCTGGTAGTCCCTGATTAGCAGTGAAATAGTTAATCAAGCCAACATCAGTGACCACTGAGAACATTCATCTGAAAATTGAACCAACTCAGATGTCCTAACAGATGTCATGGCTTTGCTTCTGCTCTGTTTACTGTTACAAAGTTTTCATTGTGAGTATAAGAGCTAGAGACTTAAAGGAATACTCAAAAACTTTGAAATTATAAATGGAATGGAACCAAAAGGAGGCATCTGTTAAGTTTTCAGAGAAACTGACAGCTCTGAAACATAAGCTGCTCCAACTGATCTTACAAACAAGATGCTTTCTTCTAACCATGGACTGTGACACAGTTGTAATTAGCTATAATCTCAGTTTCACACAGAGAATCCATTTTTCCTTGTATGAGTTTTTATACCTAGCTACAAATGATAACAACTTAATTTTCATTTCTGTTGCAATGTCCAGGACTACAAGCCAGTTTTATTGTTCTGTGCTGACCTGCCAGCTACCTGGGCTGATTAAAAAGCAGTAAGAAAGATTTGTCATTAAAATAAATGCACAACCCTATACACTTATCAGAATATTCTAATATATTTCTGGTATTAGAATGTCCTTATATACACATATAAATATGTATAACACATGTATACACATTATATATATATACCCACACAGACAGATGCATATATACCTACTTGTATATGTGTATAGTTTGGCTTCACTTATATGAATGAAAATCTTTTTTACAACTATCATCATTCAAAATACATAATAATCAAGTGGGAAAAATATAAGTTTGTAAAAAAATGTCAAATGGGACACTTTCATGCACAGATATGAACTGAGATTTTTATAGTCTGAGAATCTGAAACACGGATGTTCTTAGGTGTTAATGACAACTGTACGGCAAAATGACACATGCATATCAAGACACCTTTCTGGCTTATAACTACTTAAAAGTCGTAAGAACTCTATTTCTCGTAATAAAAGTATCAAAATGCATAAAAACTGTGCAAGTATATGAAGAATACCATGTTTGACAAAAGAACTTCATCACAAAGAACTGATTACTAAATTCAAGAAGAAAGATGATAATATGTTTCAATCAATGAAAAATTCTCAAGTGCACACTCACAAGATTTGTGAACCTAAGAAAGAGAGCAGGAAATCATTTTCCTGTGTATTCAATTTGATACTTGAACTGAGAAGTACACAGAGGGTGTTGTCAGTCATCTGTTTCCTATGCACAGTTGGCTTGTAAATGAAATGAATGTGATCAAATGGAGAGTATGAATCAACAGTGAGAACAAGTACGCACCTAATTCTTAAAAAAAAAAAAGCATACTGCACAGGTAGTAAAAAAAATACCCTTTGTAAAAGTGCCATTTTTTCCACCCCAGCTAATCAGTGCTAGTGCACCTGGACCGTGAATATTTATGACAGTGACATACATCTGTTAAATGTTGAGAAATAATTAGACTCTAGTGAAGCAAAGCTAATGAATTCCCCTGGATCTTTGTGGCAAAATAAACAGATGAAAAGTATTTAATATGTATTTTAGATTTTATTTTTTTTATCATAAATGTTTCCTCCCAGCACTGATTAATACTTTGTATGCTAAAATGTAGTCCAAGATTTCCTCTCCTTACCACCGCAGTTTCCCCATTTGCAACACTGCAAAAATCCACACATTAACAAATCATGCAGTTTTAGTTTACCTTTGCCTGCACCTACAGCAGGACGGAGAATACCAGCTTTAATGGAGGAAAATAAAAATAGGAACACTATATAATTAGATACAACACCAAAGGGAACATACATATGTAATTTCATTATAAACCAAAAAGCATGCAGACTAAATAAAATGTACTAATTCAAATAAATTAGAAACAATACACTTATGCTGAACACTGACAGACTGTTACAGACAAAAAGTTAATATACATGCATTTATTAATTTTTTTTTCATGCTTGTTAAGATTCATGGTTTAAAACAAACACAGTTCATATTCAACCTTAATATACTATTAGAGAAATTGTACTGCATATCAACCCACCTATGGCAACTGTAATAAACTGCAGTTTTACTAACCATAAAAAATACATTAAAAGATGGTAATAAAATAGGTTTTTAATACTAAGATGTGCAAAATCATAAAAAGCTAACCTCCCAAATTTCCCCTTGATTTAAATTACTACTATTCTATTGAATTTTCATAGCTAAATAAATAACCTCTTCAAGAAAAGAACTGCCAAAATCTCAGATCTATGTAGGCTGCAAATATAAAAATCAACAGCGACAAAATCAAACACCAAAATTAAGATTCTTTAAACATTACACAATGTCACCAGTTCTTTGAGGCCTTAAATGATAAATTTATTACCACAATTTTTTCAAGTTATTGCCAGCTCTGTGGCAAAACTTTAGACCTTACAAAAGCTACTGCATTCTTTAAAAGAGAAATAATTTTCTCAACTAGTCATTTCAGTATTTTTCTCTGTGACCAGAAGGGGTCATTGAAGCAGAATAGGTGAACGGAGGAAGACCACTTAAAATGTAAAGTTACATGAAATGAACTTTGAAAGTTTCTGATACGTTGTAGGCCACAAAAGGCAGAGTGTTAGATCTTGTAAGTTTATATCAAATGAAGGGGTTTTACACCTCTTTTATGCTTCCATTGCAGTAGAAAATCTTTGCACATCTTTTCTTAAAACCTATTTTAAATCTTTCATTAACGCACACTAAAGTTAAGAAAGCTCTAGAAAACTTTTTAATAGGGACTATTTCCTCGACGTACCAAAAAAGTAGTAATATTTTTAATAAAACTCATTTTTTTCAAACTCACTGGATTTTCGTTATACATACCCATCTTACCTTCATCCATAATGGTTACTGCTTCCTCAGTTATCTGACTTCCTGATCCAACTGACGTTTGTGCATTAAAGTAAAACTTGTATCGTGTGCTGTAATTTAAATTTTTTAATATCAAGCTGCTCTCGTTGGCAGGAATTCGTATCTCTACCAAGGGACCTAATTCATGTGTGTTGTTTACTATCAATACAAGAAAAAAAACCAACAGAGTTAGTTAGTTAGAGAAATTACCACTGTATTTAACCAGGCTTCATCTTTTGTTTCTGTTTTTTTGGTTGCTGCATTGTTCATTTCAGATTTTATGAATGATAATTTACAATTTCCAAAGAAAGTCATGTATGGGGTAAATAGGATCTATATAAGGGGCAAAAAATTAACATGGAGACAGGAAACACCTACATGTTTTCTAAGCTCAAGTTCCACTCTGCTAAGAAATGTATGCTGAGAATGTCCAAAGATATGTCAGCGTTTGGACACAGCTGATAGCACAAGTATTCAGATACTGAACATGTGAATCCGAGATAACTGCGTTAACACAAAATCATCTGAACTTACACACTTTTGAAACTCTGGGAATTAATAACCCTGAAGTAACTGCCTAGAATAAATATAGTAGGTTTTGGAATAAAAATACTGATATGATTTCTGTCTTATGACAAAGAACAGAGGAGGTTGGTAAGTGGGAAAAGAACTTCTTCCATGTACAGGAGACTCATGATTTCAAGTGTCACTGCTGAAAAATTTCTGGGCAGGCCAAGTAAACAGTGGAATGTGAATTCCGAGGAAATGACTAGCGGAATGGAAATAATGCACTTTTAAATTAAAAGCTAGTACATTTCTGGTATCAGTAAATGCTCTTGTGATCAAGGATTCTTATAAAACCATATTATTATTTTTTGATTGAAAATTAAAACACTATGAAAATTGGAGGAGCAGACAGCAATATACGTGGATGCACTTTGTTCTACTTATGGTCATATTTTCTCTGCAGTTAGAAAATAAGCTTTACTGGTGGTAGCATCTTGCTTCTAACTTAGCTGTCAGTTATATGCAGGACTTTCCCTCCATTTTTCTGTGAAGCGTGGTTTGAAGAAATAAAAGACATTGAAAAATCCCAAACTTGTACTTGAGCAGGTGAGGTTTTCCAAGAAAGGTCATCTATACTGTCAATATATTAATCTTTTCAAAATTAACATCTGCAATGCAAATTATAGGAGTATCATACCTTTTGTACATTATAAATTTAATATAATTTATTCTTAATGAATGGATTACTATTTGATAGGCATATAGTCCAAGACAGAGTTATATATTTATTATTAACTTACTTGGCTGAAACTTCAATATATATGATGTCAAAACACCATTTGGATGAGTAGGTGAACCCCACTCCAGAGTCAGAGAGTCCAATGTTGGGTTAGTAATCTTCAAAAAGGAGGGTGAGCTAGGAACTTACAAGAAGAATATATAGTTAATACAAAGTAGATGACTTTAAAATAGCTCATGAATTATTATTAATAATATGATTATATTGAGCCAGACTATTACTTTATGATGTTTAAGATCCAAAATCAACAATTACATCCTTAGTGTTCTGTTTCTGAATATATCACAATTAAGTTTATTATCTAGCTTTCTCATTTCCTACCTCCTTCAGGGGTCTTAAATACTTTGTCTGGGCTTGCCGGTCCTTCTCCTTTACCATTAACAACTCTAACATTCAGCTTGTAAGAACTATAGGGCTCCAGTCCGGGCAACATTCCAAAAGTCTTGTTTCCCCTGAAAGTCAAGATCTTTTTTTCTACATGTCTCCTACTCCTTCTGGATAGACTCTGCACTTTCCAGTAGTAAACCTAAAGACAAAGAAAATCTATAATGAGCACAGAAGTGTTCCAATGTGGCAAACTAAAAATTCCATGAATATACATGAATTATAGACAGGAACAACTGAAATTTTAATAAGCTCAAGTAAAAGCAGCATAGACCTTTGTAGCTCCAGAAATAGACCTTGTCCAGAAATGGTCATTTTTACCTGACTGGATGAAAATTAGCATTCGCCAGTTCCGCGTATGATCAAAGCTAGTTTGACACAAGTTTTGGTTTGAAACTGCATTAGTCCTCAACAGTTTTCATGTTAGCAAGTCCATCTGAGAGGTATTCATAATGTCTATTCTTGCACTAAGGTGTGTACACAGCTTTTAAAGCAACTTGCACTCTGCCACTTTGTTACGTAAATAGATGCCATGCACCTGGCCATGCAGATATATTCCTTGTCATGTGGAAGCCATGCTGCCATTCTTAAATGTAAAAGAAATAAAATGATTTCTCTAGGCTTGAAAAACAGGCAGGTTATGAAAGGACTCTGATGTTACAATTATGGAATGATCTCCACGTAGGGACAGGCAGGAAGACTATTCTGCTTTTATATGATCATAAGATCAGAGCACAAAGGTGACTGATTTTGGTGTCTGTTTTGCTGATTCAGTTTCTTAGAAACTCACAAGGAATCACTGGAACCTCCTTGACTACCCTCACCTTACCACTCAGTGTCCCTACTGAAACTTTTGGAATAAACTAGCAGTTATCTCTAAAAAGACTTGTGTGACTCCTAGGAATGTCACTCTCAAATACACCATTATTTATTTTTCACAGAACAATTTTTTGTTTATGTATGCACATGCGACTACACACTGAAACTGATAAAATAACATAAATTATTTTAATCTTTTTTTTTCATATTAATATATTGAATAGCCAGTAAATTCCTAGGAATAACAGGAAAAAAGGGCAGCCATCTTAGCAAAAACAATTCTTTTTAAAGTTTCTTCTTAGGTTTAAACGTTTTATAGTACTAAAATATTGTCAGGTAATAGCTGGATTAATAAAAGAGTGAAATATGACTGATCTGCTGTAGACTGCTTCTAATGAGATGTCTTCCTGCTTTGCCATAACTTTGTCATCACTTTGTGACTCTTTTGAGAAATATTCTTCTCTTTATTGACTAAGAAATGTAACATTGTATATTGATGGCTACCAAAAGGTTTGAAATAATTTTATTCATTCCAAAATTCTGAGTTTGCTAGTAGAATTTTGCTGATGTGTTTAAAAAGAGATACCCATGTACTTTGTAAGCCATGACAACTAAGACATTGAAAGCATATTCTGAATCCACGAAAAGTTTTTCAGCCCGACATCAGAGAAAGCTTTATAACATTAACTAGCCAGTAGGTCTTAGGACTTGTGAGGCTCCAGCTAGTTTTTAAGCCATTTTAGCTTGGTTTTAGCTCTATCTGCAAAAATCACTTAAGAAACTTTTGCTACTACTGCATTTTTTCTTAGGATCTGATGACTGTCGTCTAACTTGTTGTAGCTGCAAGAGCAAAATTATCCAGTGGTCAGGTCTGTTGTCAGTCCCATGGTTTTATCTTGTTCTAGTTGCGACTATGACCTAACTTGTTTTAGCTTCAGTATTGCTTAACTTTGTATAATTTTATGGTTCTCCTCCCCATGAAAAAAATCATGCCATATATGGAGAAGGACAAATACAGTAAACAAAAGTAATCGTGGCATAAGTAACCCCACAGACTAATAGGAGAAGAAACAGTGTAACCCATTAGCAAACACTGGGTTGAAACAAACCCTCAGAGAATGAAGACTTAGGAAAAAGACACTTCCACTGTCAAAATTGTGCTCCAGTCAACAAAGAGCTCAGGATGATGACAAAGGGTAGATGCTTGTGTCCACGGATTTTTCAGTATTATTAATGATCTTTAACAGAAATTTGGTGATTTGGATTATGGGCATTAGCATTGCTGTAACTGGACTAAAAATAAGTGTTAATTTCACTAAATTCTAATTCTTTGATCCTCGCATAATATATGTTCTTTTGGTTGCTCATTTGTATATGTAACACCAGGTTGATACGATAGTCTAACATACGTAACAAATCCTTTTTCTCAGCAGGGTTTATTATCTAAGGCAGAGCACCACACTAACTACAAGTACCTCTGATAGCTCAATACTGAACTAGCATAATATCTCTCATGGCATTATTTTGTGCCAGGCAAGTGACGTTCACATACCAGGGGCTTGTGTTCATTTGGTTACCAGATGTTATGTGCTCAAGTGGGGATTCAACGTAATTGCACTCCAGAATGCTAGTCCTCCATCTTAGGACACACACTTCTTTTCCTCTGATTACGGCCTTTCATTTAAACAAAAATAGTCCAAATTAGCCTATCTTACAAAGCAGCCTAGTTCAGCCTGTGTAACTGATCCATATGGTTGGAACATATTTACTGGTACACTTGCAGAGGAGTAGAGAAGTAATAATATTATGTTTTCTTCTATTGTTGCATAGGTAGTCACAGTATTTTCACATTCCACCTACCCCTCCACAAGTCTATCATTGCTCCTGCAGTTTCCCTGTTGAGTTTCCTCAGCTGGGCTTCTAGTGCAACCTCTGAGTCAACTTGCGCTCTCAGATTTTCTCTGATCGCCCAAGGACACAAGCCCCCCAGCTTCTTACCCTGAAGTCCTTCTGTCTCCCATTCTCTAATAATTGCAGCTTTTTGTTTCCAACATAGCCTTCTCAGTTATCGTCAAAGCCAGCACACTATCTTACACCAAACTACTTCCAATTATATATACATTCCAAATTTTCTGGCATTTCCTATCATTCCCTCTTTTAAGCTGAGCTTTCTTCTGGCCTCCAAAAAGACACAACATCCAGCATCAGCTAGTAAGTGGCTAGTTAGTCACAATTAAAGATATGGTTAATTATACCATGGTAAAATGTGAGTCATTAGAAAGCGTTTCTCTTCATCCTCCAAATATCTTCTTGGAAAAAGATTTGTAATACTATTATCATTTTTTCATCTGTATAATGTGTTTCAAATTAACTGCAAGCACATCTGTTTTTCTTCAATAACAATATCTTGCTTGCTATCTAATATGGTTGCTATCTTGTAGAACTTTAAATGAATCTTATCAATGTTGTTGCACTTGGAAGTAAAACTTGTCAGTTCATCAGAAAGCAAGAATCCTCTTAGATATCACTTACGTCAATATGGATACAAACTCATATATTAGAGTGATCTATTTTAATAAATGAGGAATAAAAAGCTTCTGAATGTACTTACTTTGTACCCTTGAAGATGCCCTCGGACAGTTTTTAGTGGAACTGGGTCCCAATGCACCTTTGCTAATGTGCTGTTAAGAACATGAACCTGCACGTTGCCTGGAGCAACCATTGGCACTGTGTGGAAAGGATGTAACAAATACCTAGTTAGAAATCGACACCATATGAATATACTTTTTCAGAAAGATTTGCATTCCATTCAAGGAGTAGTTTAAAATGTTGTTCCTATTTGTTAAACAGTTGACTTCAGGATTAATGCTTCAGTGTTTTATAAAGCCTTCTTATCTTCAAACTACTTCAACTTAATTTAAGAAGTATCTACTAGTCCCCATTTTCAGTATTTCAATATTTTAAAATCCCATTTGGGTTACGCATTTAGTTGTTTTTTATTAGCAAAATTGAGTCAATCTAGGAAACTTACAGTCTTCCCCTGAATGTCCAATCACCTCTGACGGCTCTGGAGCATATCCCAGGTCATTTAAAGCCTGTACTTTTATCTCATAGGGAACAAAAGTTGGTGTACCAGACACAATATATTTAGATACATTTGCAACTATAACAGAAGTCCATTCGTCATCAAAATCTTTCTGACGCCAGCTGACTTTGTACTGAAGCCCTGGTCCATTAGACTGAAAACCTTTTAAAGACTGAAATGAAAAGAATAAATGAAATTTTTTTAAAAGTACTTTGAAGCATCTGAAAAATGAGAAGGCACAAAGAAAATCTTCTTCACAATTTTACTGAAAATTTATCACTACATTCTACGATAGAGAAACACTGTTGAAAATCCTAAGCTATACTATTTAATCTTGACATGTTGTAAAGTTCAGTTGCTTTTCACTCATTAGTAAAAATCCTGTAGAATGGTTTCAATAGGAGACCGGCTAATCACCATGCAACCATACAGTGTGATTTCTGTATAAATATTTTCTTTACAAATATATCTTCAGAAGTTAAAGAAGGAAACACAGACCTATACCAACTCTGTATAAACCATATTCCCTAGAGAATGTTTCCTGCCTGGGATGGGAAATTGGTTTCACATGACTCTCACGAGCTCCTGTCATGATGGTAAGGACAAGACACAGACACAAGGGTTTGTAGCAGAAGAATGCACAATAATTTAGTTTATCACAAAAGTTGAGTGGAGAATTAGGATTTACACAGGAATTCATTCCAAATATAAGACTGTATAGATAAACCATAATTTACACATTTAAGTTTTTCTACGTAGGTAGCAAAACATCCTGCACTACCAAATTAATGACTTGTCTTGGAGAAACCAATAATCAGTCAGTGAAAATATGGCACCTTAAAAAAAGCATTTTCTTTGATAATACATTCAGCTTTTCCCTGAAAGTGAAGAAAGTGAAATGTCTGTGAAATTTTTATTCTTTTTCAAAATGTTTCAAATAAGCAATAAATATAGCTTATCATAGGGTATTCACAGTTACATCATTGTTATTTCTCTAAAAAATTGCTTCTTACAGACTTAAAAGCAAACCAAAAGCCCCCCCAAACCCAAGCTTACCTCCCATGTTATCACCAAATTATCAGGTTCTGAGCCTATTCCTTGTACATTAGAAGGATTTTCATCAGGGTCTAAAAATTAAATATTCACATGTGAAAAGGATGCCTGCCATGTGTTTTCCGAGCAAATTCAATGTCATTCAAAATATAAATCAATCACTCGCAAATGGGAATACTTATTTACTTGCGGCTTTTGTCAGGTATTGCTCAGATGGTTCACTTGGCTGACTTCTACCAATCTCATTGACAGCTATTACACGGAATGAATAGTTGACGTATGGAGATAGCTTCAACTGTACTGTTGTCTGAGTTCCAGGAACTTCTGTCTGGTAATGCCATACCCCTGGTTCATGTAGTCCATCTTCATACTCAATAAGAAAATCTACGAACAAAAATTGAATCCAATTTTATGTCAGAACTTACAGCACATTCGGAGGTTTGCATAATCATTTTTCAATGAGCTAATCAGAATGGAGCAATCCAATCAACTTTTTTTAAACATGGAAATTGAAATCCAAAAACATAAAACTCACCCAAAATCTACAGTGTGGATCTCAAAAGAAGTTCCTAAACAGAAATGTAATTGAAATACTCTTATTTTCATTACTAAATATTCTTACTAGTGTAGCTGACTGTCAGGGTAGCGCACTATTACAAGAGCTCTCTCTGAGGTACTGGATTTAAATTTAATGGGAACGCATTAACTATCACAATAAGACAGTGGGATAAGTTTGGAATTTTGAAATAAAAGTAATTTCTGGCAGATAGATATATTGCTCTTAGTTGTATGATGCTGACAATAAAGTATCTATACAATACTACAACTGCCTGAGTATTCCATTTTCCCTAATAAGATCGGTTTAGTAAAAAATTATTTAAAGCCAAGAACCAATGCTTCAGGAAGGTTTTTGAGTGCAATCTTCAGCATTTTCAAATTAAGCCAAGGGGTGTATGCATAGCAACTAAACTTTTCGAGAGTTCTCTGTGTGAACTTTATTATGACTGCTGTCGGGGCTGTCAGTGCTTCACCCCTGCAGAGTATGTAACCTCAGGGATAAACAGTTTTGCAGAACTCCCAGAAGAAAATTATTATCAAAGAAAAAATGACACTTTCTTCAGCTGTGAAAAAGCCAAAAGAGCCTCTTGTTTTTAGGTATAGGAGGTGAAGGTACAGGTATAAGAGACAAAACTTCTGAAACCCTTAACAAGAGTTAGTAGGAGGTAGTAGAGAAATGGGAGGGGAATGCATAGTCTAAGTACATTCCACACAACCTTAAGCTTTGGCATTTGAACTTCAGATCAGCATCAAATGTCTGTGTGTTATGTAATGAAAATTTTGCCCCATTTCATTTATAGATAGGGACAAGAAGCCAGAATATGACTTAAAATATAATGAGTAAGGTAATTATGAAGGGCTTCTTGAAACTGCTTTTAGAAGAAAACTGATAGTACTACACAGAAATAATATTTGCCTAGCGGTGATCCACAATTTCACGATCCAAGATGTCTAACTGGTACTAAGTATTGGCTTCTGGACCTAAAGCTGGAAGATTTAATCCTGATTTGAGTGAGAGAAATGAGTGAGAACTGCCCCCAAATTCCTGCCTGAGTTACAGTTGATGTTGGGTGCTCACAAATAAAGGTTTTGGAACACAATGCTTTCTTGATCGTCTATTCATTGAAAAGTTACATATTTTATATTTAAAAAAAAAAAGACAAGCACCATCAAAGTTTGCACTAGAGTTTTTTGCTTCCCTTGTAACTGCCATTCTGCTTGCAAGAACAATTTATATGAGACTTCAAAGAAAAATTTTCTACCTAGGCTTTCAGAGAAATTCCTGCATGTGAATTGTATTACCTGTGTAAAGGGATCATTCATTGTGTAGTGCTATCCTTGAGTCTTGACCTGTACTTTGAAGTGATAATAGAGCAGTAAGGGACTTACTTTTGAAGCAAATCCTTTTCTTGTAAGCGCTCAGGGAACCACAAAGCAATTGGAATTGTATCATAATTAAAAGTAACATTATTTAATAGCAAAAGTTTAATTTTCAAATTTATGTTTCAGAGTGAAGATATTTTCTCACTTCCAGAAAAGCTCTGATCTGAGCTAGCATCGCCTATTATCATCTCTTATGAAGAGAAGAACTCTTTCTCCTTCAAAAGCACATAGGAGTAACTTTTTATCCACTGAACAAGTTTACTCAGTGTGTGTTCACAAGACTTGACCTTGTCAGAAAGAGCCCATATCAGTATCAACTTCTGTGTTAACAGTATGCTAGCAGTTTTTTGCATCAAAAATCCAGCTCTTAGAGCAGTAAATAAATCTTTCTGCTTGACTGTATAGTATAGAACACATATAGAGTAGAAAACAGTAGTGAATTTTTGTTATGTAAATGGCAACTGTAGTGAATGCATTTACCATTCTTACACGCCGCACACAAAATTTATCTCAGAACTCTCCGGAATCTGAGAATAGTTAATTTAACACTGTTACAATAAATATAGATGAACATACTTGTAATTGGGCTGTTATTTTCATCTCCTGGTATCCATGAGAGTTCTATGCTTCTTTCGAGTTGACCTGTCAATTCCAAATCAAAAGGTGGATTTGGCCGAGCTGTAAATCAAATGAAAACAAAGTAAATATTCAGACCAGAATATATGGTTTCTTCTTCAAAACAATCTTTATATTCAAATCAAAGCATTTAAAATAATATAGCAATGCAGATCTACTTTAATTATGTAAACATGATTTAATGACCATGAGCATGCAATTGTTATCAAATGGAGAAGAACTAAAGTATCTGGAAACTAATTAACTTATTATTAACTTAAAAATAAGAATCTATGTTTGATTTTATCTACACCTGATTGCATTGTAATGAGAGGCAAAGAAATATGAAATGCATGTTCAGTTTATGGTTAGTGAATATGAGTGGCAATCTATTAAAACTAAAAATAATAAATAAAACATGAAAAATAAAGAAGCACTGACATTAAAGAAGCTGTTTCAGAATCACTACAAAAATTCTGCATATGAATTCAAAACAAATATAGTGCAAATAGAAGTTAATTGCTAATCACTAAGCAATTTATTTTTTGCTGTACTGTTTAAGAACCCAGAAATATCAAAGGAGCTGTTAATGTACATTCTCATCATGCAAAGAGATATAAATGTCCATTCTAAATTGCTGAAAATAATTTATTATATGAATTGTCACTCAAAATCAAGACTAATGAGCAGGTTCATTTAAATATACGTAAGCATTTCCACTGAACATGATAAGACTTATATAAACGCGCCCAAGTTACTCATACTTTAAAGTGTTTTTTAGAATCAGGTATATTATGTTGTATCTTCAAATGCAAATTCAGAAAAATGTTGTCAATTTAAAGATTGTATGTGACCAACAGATTTTTTTTTGATATAGTAACTCTAATTTAAAAATCTGTATCAGAAATTTCACCAAGCACAGACTGACTGGGCAATACAATCCTAACCACTTATCGAGTGAAGTAAAAGAAGATAAACTATAAAATAAAGTATACCACACCTATAAAGTTGTCTTTGAAGGTAGTGGAAAAATATACCATAATTTGGATGGTGCAAGATCCTTCATAGTGAATTAGCTTTCAACCAAGACGTGAATTTACCTTTTGATTTTTTTTCACTTATTATATAACTAATTTGCATTATAGTGTTCAACATGAAAAAAAACCACACCACAACCAACCTTCATCAAAAATAACTAAACTCTGCAAATTATTTATTTGTTAAAATACAAAGCTTTGATTCTATGATTTCAAAGTCTAGTACTCCAATAATGAAACAGTTGGTAAAATGGAATGATACTACAGACACACACACACACACACACACACACACACACACACACGCAGAGCGGAAAAAAAGGGAAAAAAAGATGTTGCAGTTTGCAATAGGAAAATGAGAAATATGTCTTTCAGATGATGCAGACAGAGAACTTTGCATTAGTTTACCGTAAATGATAGCTGGAGTTGGGGGAGCAGCTGAAAAGAACATTAATATAAATGATTTAATCAGTTAGTAGCCAAAGAAACAGAATACTGCAGGCAGTTAAAGACTACAATTATTAGAGAAAAAAAAATAATTTATTTACAGTAAATGGTTGACTTTAAATTATATACTGATCATTTTTTAACTGAAAAGTGATAAATACATTCTTTAATATTTTGTTTAATTTATTTAATAAAATAAATAAAGTAACAATCTTGTAAAAACTTGTACATAACTATTGGATGTTTGATGCATGTCATTCCTGAATAGGACTTCAACTTTTAGGTTGAACTTTGGTTCAACTTAACTTCAGTAGGTAAGAATCACACAGAGCATTAGTTAAGACTCTTAAAAAATTGTGAGTAGGGGCAAAGTAACAAATTTTACAGCCATTTACAATCATAGAAACTTAACAGGGAGAACTAACTTACAAAGGAAATCTTTGAAAAATCCTAGAATCAAGCACGCCCAGTCTTTCTGAAACAGAATTCAGCAGCTAACAAGCTTCTTGCGACTACCTGTTTCTGTTCAAATATTCTGCAATATTTGATCCAGTGTGTTAGCTCAGGTGTGATATAAATAAAGATCTATACAGCATGAAACCGAATGTGTCCTGAAGCTACGTGAACCTTTTTGTAGATTCAGTGGTGAACTTGAGAGCAAGACCATTCCTTTTTTTATCTGAAAAGCATGCAAACAGGTGAAATTTCCTTTGTCCTATCCTAGCTACCAAAATTATGTTTGTTTTTCATTTCAGATCTAATACTGTTTTCCAATTTAACATAAATTAAACACAGTTCTGCTATTATAAAGTTTTAGAGTATTCTTACCAACAACTGTAAGCACAGCACTTGCTGAAACACTGTCCAGAGTGGTATTAATTATGCAAGTATATGTTCCATCATCTTTATCAGTTACATTCATAATGGTCAAGTTGTCTTTACCAACTAGAAACCTGTAAATACAATAAATTCAGCCACTGATTTTTCAATAACTGGTATTTTCATGAGAAACTTGCATAAAAATATTGTCAAATCCCCTGTACTTGTGTATTTCAGCAAATGTCTAGAGATGAATGTAAGGTATGGGACTATGTCAGCCTTTCTGCATTGCTATTAACCATCTTCCCACAGTAACTGCCTCTTTTTCATATGTTTTTTTATTTCCAAATATTCTCAATGTATTTTTGATTCTCTGTGTTTTACAGCACAATATTTCTTCCATCATCTCCTTGGCTTCTTATGCCAATTATCTTCTCCTTACAATTGATACACACTATAAATGTGCATATTTTAAAAATTTACATCTCATTTCATTTGAATTCTATCTTAATGTTGTCATCACAGTAAATATGGCTTTCAGTGACCAAATATGGGATGGTGATGATATTTATTAGCCTTCTTCAATATGTGTCTTTCAGAAAAGAAAAAGTAGAAAAAGTAGGCAGAAAAAGTAACCGCAAGAAACTCAAAAAGAAAAATAAAAGAAACACTATTTGGTCCATACCTTTCGTCATCTGGCAGTTCTCCATTGTCTTTCAACCATATAACTGTTGGTATTAAAGTAGGATCATGTTTTATTGTACACTCAAATGACACTTGGCCAGCTCTCTGAATCACTTTATATTCTGGCTGTTTAATTATCATTGTTGGATCTGAAATCGAAGATAACTATTAGATATTTTAAAAGTCTGAAATTCCGTACTAACCTGTGATGAAACAGTGATTCATTTCTTACCTTTCACTTCCAACTGCACCTCATTTTGTATCTTTCCTAATTCATTCCTTGCTACACACGTGTATGTACCAGTACTATCCTTTTGAGCCAGGGGAATTTCCAAGGTTCCATTATCATGGAAAACGTATTCATTTCCACGCAAGATGCTACCTTTCACTCCCTTAAACCTTTATATTAAAAGTAATATCATTATCCAACATAATACTTTAAATCTATCAAATTTATTGTCAGAAAACACAAACTTGGACTACCACAGAATCTACAGATGCTATAGACAGAATAACATACTGAAAAGTAAACTTGACTCTACAGGGGTAACTTAACTGCTGTTATGTTAAGTAAGTCTTGTATTAACATAACATAATCAGCTCATGTCTAAAATAGTGTATTTTAAAGTTGTAAATAAAGTAAAATAGTTTTAAAGTTTTAAATGTTTGTTTTCATAGATATAACTGCATTTTTTTTTTTACATATTTTAAACACAACAATAGCTTACCATTCAATTTCAGGCTTAGGTGAACCAAAATAAGCACAGTCTAGCAATGCAGGATTATTTGCAATGACTTGATACAGTTTATTAGCAGGAGTAAGAATTCTTGGTGGCTCAGCTGAAAAGATAAAGATAATCTGGATATAGATACAAAGATGAAAATACAAAATACTAAGACATCAAGAATGGCCTAAAGAATTACATGTTAACATCCTTCTCTGAAGTGATTTCTGGTTTCAGTTCAGATCCAAAGATGTTCTACTGCCAGTAGCCTGAGGAAACTTTAGGACAGGAGAATTATATTGTTTAAGAAAAAAAAAAAAAAGCTTCCTCCCTGGTTACAAGTAACAAGTAATTGTGACGGGCACCAAACTAATTTCTTTTGGAGAATTTTAATCAGAATGTACTTCAGGGAAAGAAACTGTCAAGAACAGACTGAACTATACATAGACACACGTGCAATGCGGAAAGAAGCCAGGATGTATATTTGGTGAAACATCTGCTTTTTTGAAATGAATCTTGGATTCAGAATGAGTTCTTTCATTTAAAAGCCTGTGACCCTTAATCAAAGTCCCTGTCAGTTCCTTTAGGAGAATCTTTAAAGGTCATTCTCCCTACAAATTTGCTACTAGCTTTGTTAAATTCGGAGAAAAAAATTAGAGTTCACAATATCTCCTACCTAGAAACACGTTCTTGGAGGCCTCTGAGACAAATGCAGAACTATGTCCCCTTGCAATAGCGATTTACAAAATCTTTTCTATGATGGAATTTATCTGAGTCCTTTTTGGGGCTTTGAAGGAGGGATCTTTGCAGAAGGAACACTGTGTGTTTTAAACTGTAATTTTCTGATGGAACAATTATTTAATTGATCCAAAACACCAACGATCAACGAAAGTGAACCAAAATATACTTAGAGCTAACATTCCTGCCTTATTTCCTGTACATATATTTGCTTGATTTACATAAACAAAGAAAAGGGTAAAATTTCTTCTAAGTTTCCTCCAGGTTCCATGACTATTTTACAAAGAACAAGGTATATATACCGCTTTTACAGTGCTTGGGAAATATGTTCATTCAGCACCTAATAAAGACCTCAGGAAAGGTTTGGGCATACAATCTCTGTATTAGCAGGAAACAACTGAATATTGTGAAGACGACTGAAAAAATGAAAAATTTGTTTCTTACCCAAAACATTCACAAATGCATTTGCCAGCAAGTATCCATATTCATTAGAAGCATTGCACTGATAGACAGCACTTGACCTTTCTTGCACATCTGAGAAAATAATGGTGTCACCATCTACCTTTCGGCTAGGATCTTCTGGGGCAACTGTTGGCATTAAAAAAAAAAAAGAGTTGTTTTTCTTAAATTGCTGTTGGATTATTCGTTTTGTAGTTGTGAAAAGAGGAAATCATGTGAAAGAGCAAAGGCTCTTCATTCTGTTTTCCTGAATGACTGTTTACTCATTAAGATGTGAATTCCAATGTGCTTAAGGAAGCTCTGTCAATTTGACACACATTTAACTCGGGATGGTAGAGTTCACATTTTGGGGGTTTGTGGGTTTTTTTTTAAAGAAGTGAAGGTCATATTTTGCATGCAGTTTGGAGGAAAAATACTCCAAACATGACAAGTTTCAGGCAAATAGAGACAATGTCTACAAAAATAAGGAAAGATTTCTGAATGACAAAAGAAAATGACATTAGCATGACATCGGAACTTTAGAATCTTCTGTAACTTACAGATTTCAGCTTTTCAAAGAAGTTGTTACACGCATAAATATTTCTCCAAATATAAAAATAGCCTTACTCAGTTGAAAACTATCTCAGAGTAAAATATAAGTAAGCTTAATTCTTTAGCACCAAATCCTGAAACAAAGAATGTTCGCAAGAGCAGGGACAGTAATTCAGTAGGTGGCACCCTTTCCTGTGAGTAAGTGTTAAACAATGCCATTTCCTCAACTGTTCTGTGTGAGCTATATCCCAGGAGAGTTCAGAATATAAGAGAAAATAAAATTCTGAGATATTTCTGAAGAATCATAGCTGTCAGTTTTGATACAACTGGTTGGAGTTACAGAGGTAAAACAGAAAAAACTTAGCTTGTAATACCACGATGCATAAAAATGCAAATTACAGGTTAATATTTTAAGTAAGTATTAAAATGATAATTTCTCAATGCATTATTAATACTGAAACTTGTTAATAAAATTGATATATTAATATAGAAAAGTAAGTGATACCTCCTTACGCTTCAGACAATATATCTATGTTCAGCTGTGAAGAAAGGGGAGAAATTTTTCCTGTATTTTCTCATTTTCATTGAAATATCTACTACTAAATCCTATAAGAGGGAAGAAACTGGATGAAAGGGACTACAGCTCTGAGCCCCTTCTTAAGGATACTTCCATCTTAGTTGAATTCTAAGGCCATTTTACACATAAAGTAACTACACCAATTTCCAAAGAGATGCCTCAAGAACAGTTTTCAACTTTAACTCTTATCTTAAACCACTCTGACTTCAAATAAGTATCATAAATCTAAAAATCTGGAAAAGGAGAAAGAAGGAAAAGAAGGAACTACTAAAAGTTTAAATGCTTAACTTTTCTCTGGGCTTTTGGATTGCTAGCACTTAGTTTTTCTCTTTTGCTTGACTTCCTATTGTGTTCTGTGTTCCGTATTGCTTCATATTCCACTTACATGCCCCTGCAAACAGATGTAGCGGATGAGCAGCCTAGGAGGTCGGCTAGTCATGTGTGGAAAGTGGTCTGTTTCTGCAAACAAATGACTGCTAAATGGAAAATACTTACAACGATCCTCCCAAATAGTAGCAGTACTTCCCACACCCAAGTGGGTGTTCTAACTACTGTGCTAGTCCTGGCCCCTTGCTCTGTGTTTCCCTTCTTTCTTGTCCACTGAGTCTTGAATAATTTTCTGCATGCTGGCACACCTTTAATGGCTGCACAGAATACCTCCCTCACACACACTCCCATATATAACTTACATATGGCTGTTCCTTTCAGGGAGATAGAAGCCATCAGTAATTTCAATCCTCTCTGGCTGAAGACTGAACCGGATCTTAAAAAAAATAACCTAACCATTAAATTATCATATATAAAGAAGGGCAGCACCTTCTCTTCCTGCTGCTGCATTTATCGAAGAAAAAGAGAAATCTCTCCTCAGCCCTTTGAAGGAAAAGAGGCAGATGCTTGTTTTCAGAAAAGGGTGTCAAGCTGTGGGTCCTTAGAGGGGGAAAAATACCTGAGAGAAGTATCAGGTTAATTAGTATTTCCACTGGACCAGTCTAGCCATTTGTATGCTCAACAGCAGTTATTTTAGAAAGCTGCCTGTTGAGATCGCTGTCCGTTACAGATTGTCTTCTGACACACCTACTTCTCCCATACAACACAAACAGAACGTACATATCTTCGCCCATGTGCTACACTTCATCTTGCATGGCCAGGCCCAAAAAGCTAGATGTTATATCACACAACTCCTTTACTGATCTGAAACATTTAGCTGACTGCTGGAGTCAGGCAGAGCTTATTTGCCTTTATTGGGATTCTGGTCCCATGGCAACATTACAGGATGGCTGTATGAAAAGAAGAAAATGCTATTGAGAAGTCTGGCAAATATGAAATTTACATTGATACTCTAAGTATCAAGAAATTACTTAACACTTAAAATAGGTGTCTACAATTAGGATAACAAATGGGAATTTGCCATCAGAGTTCTGCTGCTATTACAGATAGATAGCTATGGCCTGTAAAAGCCAACATTTACTCCCCAAATTATCAAATCTCAGTCTTTTAAAGACTTATGAATATGCTTACATCTTTTCTGGACAAAGACTGGACTGCTTTGTTTCACCTTATTTTTTGATCTTGGGTATAATGAGATAGCTTTTTGATGATATGATAGCTACATACAGCATATTCCTGTACAGAGAAAGTATAGCCTCCACCAGATACTTTTGTCATAGTTAGTCATCAGCATCCTGAATAGCTTCTGTTCATCTGAATGCATATTCACATTCTTTTTCATAGATCTTAGACAGCCCAAGCAATTACCTTGGTTAGTAGGTTTAAATAATCACTTAGGGCACCATTCATTTTTCTGGAAAAAAAGGTAGAATCAAACGTGCTTTCTGAGCAGATATGGTTAAAACACGCCATTATGCTTGAAACTAGATGGAAAAACAACAGATTTTGTTGCCATTTTTTTCCCTCTTTTGCTGAAGTACTTCATTTTCCTGACCAATTCTAATTGCTGTTCAATGTATATTTGCGCACATTCAGGAAATTAAACACAGTGAAGATCAGAACAATTGCCAACTGATGATGACACAGTATACAACGTGATGTTATCAGTCCAAACCAGCAATACAAACTTCAGCCTGATTTCTAAGAAAGACATGAATTTTTTGACAGAAAATGATTAAGATATGAAGTTAGTCATAGTTTATAGCATATGTAAGTACTAACTGCTTCTATTCTACAGTGAAAATGCTGATGTCATCCTCAGATGTTGTACTAGAGATTCCCTCTAGCTGAAAACATGCTGGAAGAGAAAGGAACAAAATTACTTGACTGCTTTTCCCCATATGAATGAGAATGCATTCACAGACATCTTGACACGTGTAAGAGGTTATCTTACCTAGAGCAGTAAAATGTCTCAGACAAACACAGTGAAAAAGAGAAGAATTTCTCTTTGGAAAAAAGCAGAACTATTCATTACTGAGTGTCTTTAGATGCCTGCATCCTCTTTAGCAAATCTTACCTGCAA